GAAATGCTATATTTTCTGAAAAGCACTTTGAATAAAGCTTTCTCCCTCTGTGAGGCCATACTTCACTGAGTTTTCCTAATTGCTAAATGCATGGCTCTGGCTTGCAATTCAAGAATTTGAAGAATTGTCAAACACGCACTGCACCAGTGAAATCAGACCACATCACATTCCAAGGCCTTCATTATCCAAGCAAAGTATTCCAATCCCAGATTATCACTAATAGTGTCAAGGTTTTATATCTGTATATATAAATATCAGATTATTGCAAATAGTGTTAAGATTATATATACATAAAATACATATGAATTATATATATATGAAATCATATATATGAATATACAGAGGGAACTAGGAGAGAGAAGGCCTAGGTTCTGGTCCTCAGGTGTTGCTACCCAATAGCAGATTGAGTTTGGAAAAGTTCTGAGCCTCAATTTCCTCATATACTAAATGAGTTAATGAGTCTGTCTTGCTCACAAGTCAAGGTTATTTTTTAGCCCTAATGAAATAATGAGGGTGCTGGGGCTTAATGATGCAGGATATGTCCAATGACTTCTGGGGGAAAGGGATTTTCTTAGGTCGCATGCACTATCAATCCCAGTGTCAAAATAATCAGAGGATCTGTTCACTGTTAAATCCTCAGACTCTATAATATCTTCTACGGGAGCTGTAGCAGACCTAACTGGAGAGCTGAGAGCCCTGCTCTGAGCAGGACACTGCCTCCTCCTGTTTGCTGTCTAGCATCATTCCCAAGAAGTTAATTCAAGTGGGACAATCAGCCCATTGTTTGAAAGAAGCCCAAACTTCCTGAAAATCTAATTTTCAGGTCCATTCCCCTGGGTGAGCAGTAGTAATTCACTTAATTCAATGCTTTATGAAAAAAGAATTAGAACTCAACTTCACTTGTTCCAGCTGCCTTACATGGTTATACATGGAGTAATAAGTGTAAAATGTGTAAAATGTAAATGTAAAATGTAAGTGTAATCTGAGTGTAAGATGTAAATTACTTGAAACAACCCAAACATCCCCAAAATCACTGGGGAAGCACATGCATTGAATGGATCATTATGCAGCCATGAAATAGTTATGTAAATTTTTTTGAGTATGAAGAAGTGCTCACGTTATAACTTTAAATAACAATGCAAGATTCGAAATCCTGGAACCCGCATTACAGGTATCCCCACTGTTCGGAAATCAGCTTTACACCACTTCACTTTTACTAAAGACCTACTTTAGTACCTAACCACAAGAAATTAGAAGAGGATTTTCACTTTTACAAAAAAAGGTGAAAAGCAAAAATAGCGTTCAGTACTTGCTTTACAGCGAGCCTTTATAGAGGCAGTGGGCACCCTGAACAGTCTATACATCAACATAAGCAAGTTTCGTTGATCATGATGGACTCCACAGTGCACAAACAGCAAGTAGCTTTCTTCTTTCTTTCAGCTGTCCCTTTAAATCTATACAACAGACTTATAGAGATAGGCCTTTAACTTTTCCAGGCCATCTCTGATTTTTATACACACACACACACACACACACACACACACACACACACACATAAAATACCCTCTAGTGACCTTCAGGTGTGAAAACAGTCTCATTTCAATAATAAATTATCCATCAGTATATAACACCACCCACTAATACAATTTAAGATTTCACTTCTATGCCAACTTGGGGTCCTGCTTCATGCCTCAGGGCCTTCAATAAGGCACATATACCCAGCCAGCTTCTTTTCTCTCCCTTCTTTTCCTCTCTTTTTCTCCCTCACAGGCTATCTCAGGCTGCCCCAGAGCTGAGACAGGCTTGGACATCATCTGATCATTGTGCCCTCTGGGGTGGCAGATTCCCAATATGGATAACCTCTCCTTGAAGAGCTTCCCTAAGTTCATCAGAAATTCCACGGGAGCTCCAATTACCTGGCCTGTCTCTCACCACACGTTTTCCCTCCAAGTTCCAGCCCCTGATTTGGTGGTCCACCTCTCTGCTGAGTCACTTAGCCACTTCCAACAGTCCTCTCATGGGGAGACACTTCCAAAACAGCCCAACCTATTACATGTAGGGTTATTGATTTATTTGAGCATCTGAGTGGTTATGCCATGGTCTAAAAGCTGCTTGTATCATACACTATCACTGGCACAGACTTTGGGCAAAGTTCTGTGCCATATGCTAAGAGGACGTCAAAATGTCCCAGACACCATCTCTTGCCCTCCAGATATTAACAATCTTCTAGGGGAAAATGATGTGTTCACAACGAACTGCAAAGACTAGCAGGATGAAACACCTGCCCTGCCCTGGTTTCCCAAAGCAAGCTTGACACCTAACTCTTACTTCCTTCCATGATGTTCCTAAACCTTTCTATGACTGTCCCTATCTCTCCAACAAGATTGTGAACCCATACGATACAGGGTCTATGCTTGGTTCATCTTTTCCCCTTCAGTTCCAGCCATGGCTTATAATTGGAATACATTTGTGTTTATTAATAATGTGTTTATTAGGGCTTCCCTGGTGGCGCAGTGGTTGAGAGTCCACCTGCCGATGCAGGGGACACGGGTTCATGCCCCGGTCTGGGAGGATCCCACATGCCGCGGAGCAGCTGGGCCCGTGAGCCATGGCCGCTGAGCCTGCACGTCCGGAGCCTGTGCTCCGCAACGAGAGAGGCCGCAACAGTGAGAGGCTCGCGTACCGCAAAAAAAAATAAATGTGTTTATTAATAATGTGTTTATTAGGTGATTGAAATAAATATCAATTTTTTGAAGCAGTGTGAGGATCAGATACTTTTTTGTAGTAATATGGTATTAGTGTAAAAACTATGAAATTTGCTCTTAGTTGACTTGTTTTTAACTCAACTCCACTATTTATGGCCTCTCGACCTCTAGTTTCAGAGTGATTAATGCCTTCCTTACTTATGGGATGCTAATAAATTTCAAGTAATACAGATATCTTGGAGCATTTGGTGAGCTGTGCAGGTGTTCTGCAAGTACTACTCATTATTTGAGCAATGGGCATGATAACACTAAGACCTGAATTCAGAACTGAACTCTCCGACACTTTTTAGCTGAATGCCTTCATAAGACCCTCTCTGAAGCTCACTTGGCTCATCTGGATAATGGGTACACTAAAGATTACCTCGTTGCCCTATTATGTGAATTACTGTAAGCAAAGCACCTAGAGTAAAGAAGGGATTTAATAAATGTTTGTAAAAAATCGCATTTGACTTTATGAAAAGTACTAACTCTATGGGGGAGTTGTAAGGCTCATTCCATTGTAACAAGTACAAAAACAGCTATGACTTTATGGATAAAGTTCCCTGTGAGTAAATTTATTCTATGCCGCAAAGCAAAATAATTGGGTTGCCTTTCTGGGAGATGACAAGCCCCTTTTCCTGGAATGGCATATGTTCAAGGTGATGACTGTTAAGATGGGTATGGAATGCGCGTTAGACTAGATGGCTTTGACAGTCCCTTCCACTTGAGATCTTATGAGTTTGAACATTCAGAAATTCATGATTCATTCACCCAACAAATAAAAAATTTCTGTCCTAGGTCCCGATCACAAAAATCCCTACCCACGAAGAACTTCTGTATATCGGAGAGAGATAGACAATAAACACATAAATGAATCAACACTTAATATGCCAGATGATGATACCTGCTAACATAAGACCTAACATTTTTTGCTGGAGCTGAGTTTTAAACTTAACTTAGAGCAGTACTCAATTTCAAACCCCAGTGGCAGGAAGGCAAAGCGTTTCAAATTCATGGGCCTCTGAGTCCCAGATGTTTCCTTTTCCTATAACATTTAATACCATCTGATGCAGATGGATCCCTGGTCAGCTGAGGGGACTAATTAATAGTTGATAAGTTTCATCAGGGAGAAGACGATTTCTATCACAGGGGTTCAGTATCCTTCATCAAAGTGTCCAAGTGATACTATGAATTTTTCCCCCTCTGGTTAATCAGGAAGACTAAATCCAGAAGGAGGGTTAAACAAGGTCAGAGAGATGGAAAAACCGCCACAATTTGCATTCTAGAGCACATGATGGAATCTATTTATACATACCTCCAGGGACACAAGAGAAAAGACTCCGGAATGCACAGATAAGATTTTCAAAGATCCTAAAAAACTAACTGAACCATTCAATCCACTAAGAGAAGATTAGTAATAAGAACCTGCTACTAGACAGTATTAGGTTATTTCTTTTTATCAGAAAACCTCAGTACAATTTAGAATAGCAATTTGACACATTTTGCTTTATATCAAAGACTGGATTAAACTATGTTTAAACAGAGACACAGAGTATTTCTAGGCTTAATCTCTCATATAAATAATTCCTAAAATGACCTTGCATCTATTATTTAACATATTTATTCATGCACAGACAAACCTAAGAGCTAAGCAAAATGAGTCTTAGGAATTCAGGTGGAGGTGGGAGAAGAATGTCGATTTTTGATGTCACAGGTTTTCATATACGTTGAACCCCTACCAGTTGGGAGCCCTCTTAAACTTTAATAGGCATATAAGAGAGGGAAGTATAGGTTGCAATGTACCACCCATTTGCTCATTTCTTCACACACAAACATGCCAGTCCCTGGCAAGGGGTCTGAGGCTCACAGGCCCAGGAGAGAGAGGAAGACAGGTTCCAGCAATAGCTATAATAAAAGCTGGCTTGTGGAGAGCACCATTAGAAAGTTACGGAGTGTTATGGGACTTCATGGGAGGAACATATCACATTAATTTTCCTGTCAAAGATCCCAGTGGGCTTAGTGGCAGCTGTACTCAGCTCAGCTGGCATGGGGGAGGGGTGGAAGAGTGGAATCACTGTGGTCCATTGTTCCAGACAATGCACCCAAAACTTCACAAACCATGGTCCTCGTCCAACGCTGAGGGCAAATGCCTCTGCTTGTAAGGATGTGCCCATGGGGTCAGACTCCAGCCCAGAGACCCATCCTATGGTGCCAGACCTTTTAGTGCCAAGAAACCAAGTGAGCTGGTCGTCCTACCTGAGAAGGCTGTGATACCGGGCAAGGCAGTTCTCCACACCTGAGCAGACCCTGAAGGCACTGACAGCTGGAGTCTGTCTGCTGAAGCCCCTCTTCACCTGGGTATCAGCTCCTTCCTAGAATGAGCATCTGGAGCGGTGCTTCTCCATGGTTACCACTCTTACTTTGCTGTAAGCACTCCACCATTCTGTAGATAAGGAAATTAGGCTGGGTGAATTCCAGTGGCTTGCATGAGAATTGGACCTCTGTAAAATCAAAGAATTGAGCCTGTGTACACGACTCATGTAGATCATTCTTGTTCTCTCCTTTCAGTGTCTCTATTAAAGTTGGCTCTGAAACTACTAGAAGGGACAAGGAGCTTGTCTCCGGGGATAGCATCAAGGGGAGATGGGGGGAGTCAGGAATATTTTTCTCTGGTCAGTTTAAGAAAGAGGGATCCTGGAGGAGAGAATAGGGGCCAAAGCTTTAATTAGGGAAGGGGAGTGGTCACAGCCCTTGGGGTCTGCGGCAGGAAAGGGGCTGATGCCTGGACCTGGCCTGGGAGGACCGGTAGCCCTGAGGGCAGGTTTGATGCAAGGATTTGTACTCCCAACGGTAGCTTTCTTTCCCCTTTTGTTAGGCCCCATTTTATAAGCCAGCAGTGAGATGTGCTGAATTCTATAGAATTGTTCACAAGAAGCTTTCCCCCATTCCTAGAGGGAGAAAGGAGGCACTGTTAATGGCAAGGAAAGGAAGTGGCTTAAGTGAATTCCACAATTCCTTGGCCTTTTAAACCTGGAGATTACTAGTTAAAATAATTTGATGCACAGACCCTGACCACCATTTTAATGAGGCCTGCTAGCTGGCACAGAAAATTAATAATAATAAATTAATTCCAGAGAATTCCATTTTATGTACTCAATTATTAATGGTATTTCGGTGTTATTAATGGTGTCAATTATTAATGGCATGAATAATTAAGAGGTCACATCCATGCTATGATATACAAGGGTTCCAATGTTGAGCAAACTGCCCAGAATAAATAAAGAAACATACCAGGGTTCAGACCTATAACATTCAGCCTTCAAACATGTTTCTTGGAAAAACTTGGTACATCTGTCATCAGGCTAATTCTATTGATGAGATCTCTGTTACCAGGACTCCTGCCCAAGTTTTATGTTATGATAGTAACAAGAAAGAGGTCAGGGGATGGAGTGGGGGTGGGTGCATGTTTCTTTGGAAGTTCTGATCTTTCAGGGAGGACCCTGGCTGAAACTGGTGTCCATGGGAAACCAGGTGTGAGATCAGAGAGGGCTGTGTGAACTTAGTGAATCCAGAAGGGCTGATCAAGTAACCCCAAGGCTGACTAGTTAGTGTTGAGCTTAATTTTAAAGATGGCAGAAAACCATAATTCAAAGAGTCAAGTACCACAATGTTCATTGCATCACTATTTACAATAGCCAGGACATGGAAGTCAACCTAAGTGTCCATTGACAGATGAATGGATAAAGAAGATGTGGCACATATATACAATGGAATATTACTCAGCCATAAAAAGAAACGAAATTGAGTTATTTGTAGTGAGGTGGATGGACCTAGAGTCTGTCATACAGAGTGAAGTAAGTCAGAAAGAGAAAAACAAATACCATATGCTAACACATATATATGGAATCCAAAAAAAAAAAATGGTTCTGACAAACCTAGGAGCAGGACAGGAATAAAGAAGCAGATGTAGAGAATGGACTTGAGGACACAGGGAGGGGAAAGGGTAAGCTGGGACAAAGTGAGAGAGTGGCATGGGCATATATACACTACCAAACGTAAAATAGATAGCTAGTGGGAAGCAGCCGCATAGCACAGGGAGATCAGCTCGGTGCTTTGTGACCACCTAGAGGGGTGGGATAGGGAGGGTGGGAGGGAGGGAGACGCAAGAAGGAGGAGATATGGGGATACTTTGTTATAAAGCAGAAACTAACATACCATTGTAAAGCAGTTATACTCCAATAAAGATGTTAAAAAAAATAATAATAATCATAAATAAAACAAAGACAGCAGAAACCCCAAACAGCTACTGCCCCAAACAGTGCAACCAGATTGGGGTTAGGGTAAGTAAAAATGAGGGAGGGACTTCAGGAAAGTATATTTTCAAGGGGGAGGGGTCAATTTAACAACGATGTGAATGAGTATCCTGCATTATCTCTCTGAGCCTCAGTTTTCTCATTTGTATGATGGGGATAATATTTATTCTGAAGGCTATTTGACAAAATGAATGTATGGTTCAGAATAAGGTCTCAACAAATAACCTCTATCAGTGTTGTTGTTTCAGTTACTATTATTGTAAATATCTGATAATCCAACTCCCCCATTTTATAGGTAAAGAAATTAAAGCCTGAGGAATAGATGTGATTGTCACTAAGTTTGTGCGTGGGATGTCTTCCCTTGCCCTTCCAGATTGCTATCTTCTCCATCCTCCTCTGCGTTCCAGGAGCCAATCTTCATGCATGACACTGACAAGGCTCCCGTGCCTGCATGAGTTGCCCAATAGGGAGACCCAGTAGAAGGTGGGAAGGGAGAGGAGAATGGGGTCAGGGCATTTCTTTTCTTGGCTTCTTCCCCGAGAGGACCCTCTCAGCTGCCGTGTATCTCTACAGAAGCTATAGGTGCTCACGTAGGCTAACTCTACGTGACTTTATCTTTCCGGAATCCTGAAACTGCTCCCACCTCTGGACCCTTCCAGTTGACAGATGGTAACGTGTTTGCTGCTACCAGCTCTGAATTACTGCACTGTCCCTTTGTGAAAAATGTTTATCAAATTACCCTACTTTGAGTGTTCTGCCAGATAACGGTAAGTGACAGAAATGATACTGGAGTCCAAGACTGCTGGTTCTTGGTGTAGAATCTGTCCTTCATACTCACTTAACTTTCAATCATATGCTCATTAAATTATTGTCTACTAAGAGAAAGGCCCCGTGCTGGGCACAGGCAATATAATAATCAGTAACACATGGGTGCTCATTATTCCAAAACACCACTTGATAGCACTCCAATGCAGGAGTTAGCAAATTGTTCCTGTATAAAGAGCCAAACAACAAATATTTTAGACACTGGGCCCTATGTATTTGTTGCAGCTACTCAAGTCTTCCATTGTAGGACACAAGCAGCTACAGACGATATGTCCACAAGTGAGTATGGCTATGTCCCAATAAAACTTGCTTCATGTCCACTGAAATTTGTGCTCCATATAATTTTCATGTGCCACAATATATCTTCCTTTTGATTTCTTCCTCCGAATATATAAAAACACAATACTATCTTTAGCTCGTGGGCCGTACACAACCAGGCAGCAGGCCAGATTTGGCCCTCAGGCCATAGTTTGCTGACCTCTGTGCTTAAATATGAACTTGGTACTAAAGGAGCAGTTAAGGAGGCCAAGAGTTGGGAGGCGTATGCTGAGACAGGATTCACAGAGGAAGTGACCTTTGCACAGAGAATTAATGGATGATAGAGTTGGTTTGGCAGGGAAAAGGGAATGTACCTTTAAGGCACAAGTAATGAGCAAAAGCAAAGGATCTTAGAAACGCGAGATGTGCGCAGGGCGTGGAGTCTGCGATAGGGCCAGAGAAAAGAGGCATTGGGTGGTAGGGAGGGGAGACCCTGGGGTCTGGGGGTGGGGAAAGGGGCAGGATGCTCTGAGTCACATCCTGGAGGACCAGAGTGCCCTGCCGAGAGACTGGACTTCAGAGTTAGAAAAACCAAGTGGTGGGATTCTGAGCAACAGCATTAGACAGACCAGAGTGCAAAACCCAGCTCTACTCCGCTCCAGCTGAGTGATCACAGACAAATTACTTAACCTGTCTGAGCCTCATTTCTTAGATGCAAAACTGTCCTCATAAGAGCTCCAGCTTCATGACTGGAGTAGTGAGGATTAAACGGGGTAACGCACACAGACTGCTCTCAGCAGTGCTGGCTCACGGTAAGGGCTCAATAAAGGTTTGCTATTATTAGCATTATTATAATTAGGCTCATTGGCTAGCCTGGCTCTGGCTATGTTTTCTCTAGTCCAAATTCAGAGCATTCCTTGCCATTGCTGAAGCAGATGGCAGCTGGACAGTTGGCAGCCCTGAGGTGAACATAAGGTTTTCCTTTTAGCACTGTGATAGCATCAGCCCTAATGAGTCTGCAGTGGCAGAAATCCATTTCTCTGAACTTGAACCTCATAGACCTTGGTTCATTGAATGTGTAGCCAAAGCCGCAGCTCCCCGGTCCAGACAATACCCTTCTTAGAGTGCTCAAGCACACAGAGCACCTATTATTACTTACCTATGAGTTTTCTTTCCTGTTTAGGCTGCAAAGACAATGTCTGGATAGTTCTCCTTTTTGACAATTCCTTCTTGAGCCTCCTGGCTAGCAGCCTTCGGTGAATTTCCATGGCGCTCCATCAACCTGAAGGAGGAGAAGAAAGGCAAAAACAGATGGGCATTATTCAGTGACCTCACTTAAAATAAACAAGTTCTGTATATCCTAAGGATGCCTAAAGTGATACATTTTGTGATTAATTCAGTGGGTCCTTAAAAGACTTCACATCTGATTTAAATACATAGAAACCATAACATTTCAATTGAGATGCTTAAGAAAACTAAGAAGTGACGAGGAAGAGGACTGATTAGTTATTTTTTTTAAAACAAAATAATTTGGGTATTTAACTACAATTCAGGCACTCCATCATTAAACAGTCTTTCAGGATACATTTCAAGGTAATAACTTTAACTCCACTTTAAAAAAAAAACTCAAAATTCTGTTGTAAACGTAACAAATGTTCATCGTACAACTTTTGGGAAAAAAGAGAAAACTACAGAAAATTAAATAACAATTACTCAATAAGTCTAAACCCATAGGCTGTATTTTAACATTAATTATGTAGTTTCTCCAAAATTTCTTTTGTTGGCATATTGTAAATCTACATATAGTCAGGAGAGACCAAATAAAGAGGGCGGGAGGTCTCACTTGAGGATGTGAAAGGGTTGAGGTGAAAATGGCAGAATGAGAGTTTAATTGCACAGTCATAGGGTGTTGAGCCATCACCCTTCGCCTACCCTAGGGTGGGAGGCATGTGTTTGTCCCTCAGCTCAAGTGCAGTGGGAGAAGGATAGACAGATAAATAGATAGGTGGGGAGACGGATATTTCAAATGGACATCAGCACCAGCAGTAGTGATCGTTGACTACATAAGAGAAAAGACAGGAGCCAGAAAAAACTGAAATGACATATTCAAAGTGTTGAAGAAAATAATGACCACCCTAGACTTCTATACTCGGTGAAAATATCCTTCAAAAATAAGTGACGGGCTTCCCTGGTGGCTCAGTGGTTGAGAGTCCGCCTGCCGATGCGGGGGACGCGGGTTCGTGCCCCGGTCCGGGAAGATCCCA